AGAATGCTGCAGGAACCTTTTTCATGCGTGAAATGCAGGCACAGCAGCCCATTCAAATGAATTGCTGTATTGTCTCCCATTATATTGTAAAGCGCTATATAAACCCTGTATAATAATAATAATAATAATAATAATAATAACAGGTCTGCAAAAAACATTTTTTTCAAGAGCAGTTTTAGTTATTCCACATAATCTTTATGTTTTTTGGTGCGCTGAATCCGAAAATGACCTCCATTTTGTCATAGGACATCACGTTTCCTGACAATTTAGGTAACTATGTTAAATAAGGCAATACCGCAAAATAAATGGAAATAGACTTAAAAAATTAAAGTTTTATTACAATTTTTTCACAAAAATCCTTTTTTGAACTGAAATGAGCTCACCTACACACACTAAACTCAATTCTTCTTCCCTGTGAGGCTCCTCTTGGTGCATTTACGCTTGTGAGTAGCATCTGGAATGTCTCTCTGAAGCATCCAACAGTAGTCTGCCATCATTGTAATGCTCCATTTTCCCTGGTATCTCCTTTCCATCTCTTTAATGTCTTGGTGAAATCGGTTCACCTTGTTCCTCACTCACAGCTCCCAAATTTTCAGGAAAGTAGTCAAGGTGGGACTGGAGGAAATGCACTTTCAAACTCATCAGGCAACCTAAAGCTTGAAATGCTTTCAGCATTCGTTCGATGATCTTTTTGTAGTGAGTATCTTTGTTATTGCCTAAAACTTTCTGTACAACTTCTTTAAATGCAATCCACCCTTCATTTTGAGGATCCGTCACGGTACTGACAAACTCTCGATCAACTGTAAGCCTTCTAATGTCTGGTCCGACAAACACACCTTCCTTCAATTTTGCCTCCGACAGGCCTGGAAACTTGCTGATCAAGTATTTGAAGCATTCTCCATCTCTTGGAAGTGATTTTATGAATTGCTTCATCAATCCCAATTTCATGTGGAGAGGTGGTAGAAGAACTTTATGGGAAGGTACCAAAGTTTCTCAGAGGACATTTTTTTCACCGACTGTTAGCACCCTCGGCTGCCAACTCTTCTTGGTCCAGTGATTTTGTCGGTCTCGACTGTCCCATAGACACAGAAAACAAGGGTATTTGGAATACCCAGCTTGTTGCCTGAGCAGCATGCACAAGACCATCAAGTCCCCACACACTTGCCAACCATGGTCTTCATATTTAAGATTACGAAGAACCAATTCCAAGTTCTCGTAGGTTTCCTTCAAGTGTACGGAATGACCTACAGGTATGGAAGCGTAAAAACCACCGTTGTGGAGTAAAACTGCTTTGAGACTTCTTTTTGAAGAATCTATAAAAAGACACCATTGCTCTGAATCATATTGGATTTTAAATTGACCCATCAGACCTTCGACATCGATGCAATAAACCAACGTGTCTTCCTGGGCGAAGTAAGGAACAAACTCCTTTTCACGATTTCTGAACCATGAAGATGACACTCCTGGCAACAATAAATTCCTGCTTTTCAGCCTTGATCCGAGTAACTCAGTGGAATCTTTGGGAAGATTCAAGTCTCCTACCAAATCATTCATCTCCTCCTGAGAAAACAATTTGGGTCTTGTATCATCTTCAAAGTCAGAACTTGATTCGTCATCTGGTTCAGGTATGACTTCACCTTCATCGGAGCTAGGTATTTCTTCCAAGGTAGCAGGGGGCTTGGGTACTGGTATATCTCTGGAATGGGGGATGGGACAAATTGCTGAGTGAAGATTGGGGTATGAAATGGAATGCTTCCATTTGGAATTAAACCCTTTCACATGGCATGGTTTCGGAGGTCCTCAACACACCGTATGCACACTTTATGAGGTGCCCAAACTTTATCTTGATCTCCAATTTTTAGTTCAAAGTATGCAAAGTATACATTTTTCACAAAGTCTGTAATATTCTGCTGTTTCAACACTGTATATTCACCACAGATGAAACAGAAACTTTCTGGCGAATTAATACACTTTCACAGAGCCATAACCATAGCCATAAGTTAAGTTTCTTCATAGGATATACTATACTATACTCCCACAAGTCGCTCCATAGAATATACCCAGCACGCGACCCAGTGTGTCCTTGCTGCCGTGTCCATCCCGGGTCTTATCTTCATATGTTTTGGGATTGCCCAAATCTAGCAAGTTTTGGACTGATGTTTTCGATCTAATAAATCTTAAGTTACAACTTTCTACGTCCCCGGAGTTAGCACTTATGGGTATTTAGGAGGACGAACAGCGTTCCCATCCTATCAAATTGCTGATTTCTTTCCTTTTCTTCTATGCCAAGAAAGAAATCCTTAAGTAGATCTCTTCAAATCTTCCTAAGGTGTCTTCTTAGGAAGCTATGGTGGATGCAGCCTTGCCCATGTACAAACTTACATATCTCAATAGTGGCTGTCCCTGGATGTATGATAAAGTGTGCTCCCCCCTGGACCTTGAGATTCCCTTTGCTATTTTTCCTTCTCCCTCATCCCCCCTCTATTTCCTTCCCTTGTCCTTTTCTCCTCATTTTCCCCACTACCTTCTTCTACCTTTACATTTGGACAGATATCCCCTTATGGGACTCCGGTACCTTCCCTGACTTTAACTTGGGGTATCTTTAACTGTGTGGTGATTTCATGATTTTTGTTATGTACATGCATGCTTACTATCCTGTTGTATTGTACAGTTCGGCTCTAACTGTTCATCGGCTTTGGCAATTATGTATAGCATTGTACATTGTATATGAGTTTATTTGCTCTGTACTGTTCATGTATTCAATAAATCACTCCTGATTTATAAAAAAAATAAGTTTTGCCTTTAGTTGTACTTTAAGGCACAGGAAGTGCACTGCTAATTTTCAGAAGCAATTCAAGACAAAAAAAGTAAATATCTAAGGGTACTAGTTAAGGGATAAGTCCACCTTTGGGAACATGTTACATATTCCACCCATTTATAGGATGGAATATGTAACATGTTCCCAATGCTGCAGCAGCTGCCCGATATCCCGCTCCCTTTGACAGAAGTATGGGGGAGAAGTTTCCCGTACAAGCTGTCACTTTTTAAAAACATCTTGGCCGTGCGGGGCTCTGACCACAAGGTGGCATCATTCATTCACAATGATCTGTAAATGAATGAACTACAAGTCCCGACAGACTTAGCAGCTGTCAGCTCGTGGTTTCCAATGAACTACCACAGAACTGTACATCCCGTAAAAGCAAGCAGATATACTGACAGGCTGCAGGAAACCTGCATGCCACCAGAGATCTGCTGATTTCTGGTGTAATGCTTTACAGGCTCCTGCAGCCAAAAAAATTCACTTTTTTTGCCAGCAAAAAAAAAAAATTAGCATTTTTTTTTTTTTGGTCAAAAGGTGAACTTATCCTTTAAGAGAATTAACATTCCTAGAGGTTTCCTACGAGATACCAAATCTTAATTCTTAGGAGTTCAAGTACACTTTAAAGTATGAGTTTATGCAAACATCACCCCAGCTCCCCTCCATACAATCAACTGTCACAGCACACCCAGTGTAGGTCTGCACTTACCTCCTCTGACTGTCCTATAGACTTGAATGGGGCATTGCTCCTATGCAAGTCTATGGGAAGTGCTGCAGACAGAGGGTGGTCACAGCCATTAGAAGTGGCACGAATAGACCTGGTGGGGATGGATGGTGCTGTCTGTAGGCTCTCTTTTTTTAATTCTCATCTTTCATGGATGGCAGTATGGATCTTGTATGTTTTCTGGAGTGACTACTCAAACTGAAAGGTCTGTGTCAAAGGGTGGCAGAATAAAAAGTGGCCTGTAGACTCTACCAGGAGATGAATATCACATTTCAATGTTGAACCAGAAGAAAAACTGGCATTCTAGTGAAAGTCGTGTTCCAGTACAGCTCTGAATTACCTGCTACTGTACTAGAGAGCTGTTACATATTTAAATTTTGTCACTGAATAAGACGTTGATGGTTAAAAGGACAGGATGACAGGGTTAACGTTACTTTAATCTGCTGAGCAATAAATCAAGAGTAATTAGTCCTCAGAGCATTTTTCAGGTAGGATGAATGCTGTTCTCCCCTATTACATAATTAATCCAAAACATCCCTTTATGTCGGCTCGATAAGCAGCGTCTAAAAAGCTTTTATTTGTGTAAGCTCTGAGCAGCCTTCCAGGAAGCGTTCCATAAATTGCTGGCTATAAAACTCATTAAGCTTTTTGCCATTACTTGGCTCCCAGTACAATACAGGCAGAAGTTACTATGTGAGGGAGGGAGAAGCTTGGCACTATAAAGTCTGTGCCTTTAGCATGACACTACTAAATACAAGCAAACTTTGCATGTCAGTAAAAGTCTAGACTGGAAGGGGGGGGGGGTGCTCATAAGCTGAACAAGCCACTCCGAGAACATGACAACAAGATTTACAAGCATTGCTTTGCTGGTAATCATTCAGATCTCAAGACCTCTCATAATATTGCAGGCTTTCATTATTTTAAAGATGTACTTATGTACTTCTCAGCTTGAAATACTCTTCAGAAAAATGATGCTCAAATTAAAATCTGCACTGAGCAAACAAGACTTCCTATCATTTACCCTCTGAATTAGAACAGACTTCAAAGTGCACGGATCTAAATGCGTATAAAAATGTAGAGACAGCATTGAATTAGAAGGACCGTTCCTTGGGTAGACATACAAAAAGTTGTTGGCTACTAAAATGATCCCTCCAGTACCACAGCTGGTAAGCAGACAGATAGAATAACTAAAGAGAATACATACAGTATGCGTGTCATTAAAAATAAACATATCTTACAGAAACACTTCAACCACACAGGAAGAGTAGAATAGGGTTGGAGGTTTTTGCTCATTGACGATTTCCACTTGTCTAAGGCCGACTATACATGGGTCGAAATTCAACCGATTTTTTTGTTCTGTTAGTGGGTCAATGGCACCGGCTGATTTTCGTGGTTCCTCCCCTTTTCAGTGATCAGGCGCGTTGGAGAATTTGTGAAAAACTACCGATTTTCGACTCAATGAAGGTCAAATTGTACGATGGTTTTTCCGAAAAGAATATGCACATGAGCCGTGACCTGGAAGGAACACAAGTTTCGCCTGTTATATGGGGTGAACTTTATGACTTGGTCGGCCGATTTTCGAAATCATTGATGGCACCATCGGATTACTGAGCGAACGTTTTTGATTTTTGGACAAAAAATCGTTTGGAATTCAAACCATGTATGGCCTGCATAAATTAATGTTGGATATTTTTTTCCCACTTGCTGCCCTTGTGACATGTCACTACTGAGGTGGCATGCACAAAGAAATTTTCTCAGCAGGACCAGAGAGAGCAGTGAAAGCTCTCAGGAGTTGTACTAACAATAAAAATCCTACTGCGCTCAAAGGAATCCCTAAAAGGTCAGAAAGCCGCTAAAACTCAACCTGATACCCAACAGTAGATAATCAATAATAAAAATAGTGCAGCGCTAACTATATAACATCACGATGAGAAGAAATATAAAACTCCGATTAATGATAATAATCTCAATAATCACAATATAAAAATCACACATCCAATGATGCAATAGGGTGACCCAATAATGAGATCATAAGATGGAATGAATCACAGTAGACCAGACGGGACCCCAATCCCACTCACTAATGTGAATAGTGAGCATTAAAATCAGTGTCACAAGTGAAAAAAGTCCATACATAAGATAATAGTGCTCCACTCCATGCGATAAAAATAATGCAAGTGATCACACAATACACTTCAAGTGATGGTGAGTGATAATCCTCCTGTGGCTAAATTGCCCCCTCACCTCCACTCTGCGGCCCAAAAGGACCTACACGCCTTTAAGATCACTTGGGATCTTGATCCATACAAATGACAGATATTACCAGCTGCTTTCCTATGGACCTCTCATCCGGGAAGGTAGATTCAGGATAGACTGGCTCTTGGTCTCAGCAGGATATACCTTGCCAGATTCATCCAGCCTAGCCACATAGGTTCAGCCTCTCCTGTGGCAAAGCTCTTTCCATACAGGTTGTAACGCTCCTAGAAGAATGAAGCCTCCCCAATGTCCAGGTACTGGGGTTGTAGGATGCTGGTCTCTAGGGATTGCACAAGTGCCTCCTTCATCATAACTCCATGCTGCACATTCATTGAACTTCCAGCTGGCTATGGGAAGTTCAGATGGTTAGACACCACTTGGTGCAAAAGACAATAGTACTTTAAGGCATTGACAAAACAGACAGAACTATAGACAACAAGCCAGCAAGACTCACATTTGTGATGCCTGCAGTAGATAACTCTTAACAGTTTAACAGCTGCTGAGTACCATTGTCTTTTGCACCAAGTGGTGTCTAACCATCTGAACTTCCCATAGCCAGCTGGAAGTTCAATGAATGTGCAGCATGGAGTTATGATCAAGGAGGCACTTGTGCAATCCCTAGAGACCAGCATCCTACAACCCCAGTACCTGGACATGGGGAAGGCTTCATTCTTCTAGGAGCTTTACAACCTGTATGGAAAGAGCTTTGCCACAGGAGAGGCTGAACCTGTGTGGCTAGGTTGGATGAATCTGGCAAGGTATATCCTGCTGAGACCAAGAGCCAGTCTATCCTGAATCTACCTTCCCGGATGAGAGGTCCATAGGAAAGCAGCTGGTGATATCTGTCATTGTGTGGATCAAGATCCCGAGTGATCTTAAGGGCGTGTAGGTCCTTTTGGGCCGCAGAGTGGAGGTGAGGGGGCAATTTAGCCACAGGAGGATTATCACTCACCATCACTTGAAGTGTATTGTGTGATCACTTGCATTATTTTTATCGCATGGAGTGGAGCACCATTATCTTATGTATGGACTTTTTTCACTTGTGATACTGATTTAATGCTCACTATTCACATTAGTGAGTGGGATTGGGGTCACGTCTAGTCTACTGTGATTCATTCCATCTTATGATCTCATTAATAGGTCACCCTATTGCACCACTGGATGTGTGATTTTTATATTGCGATTACTGAGATTATCATTAATCAGTGTTTTATATTTCTTCTCATCATGATGTTATATAGTTAGCGCTGCACTAATTTTATTATTGATTCTCAGGAGTTGTAACTGTTCTCCATTCTATCAATGATTGAACATGAAAAAAAAACCCAAAAGCTGGAGATGTACTTTAAAGTAAACCCTAGTAAGTGCCAGTGTTTGGTGCTCAAAAAACATCAGGCCTGGGTCACATGCGCTCAAATATCTGGAAGCTCTAACACACATATGTCAAACACAAGGCCCAAGGGCTGCATCTGACCCGACTGGTCATTTCCTATGGGCCCTGCACCTTTCCTGCACCTGTGCCCCCCCTCTTCTTAACAGCAAAGATGAGGACAGAACTCCTCCACCAGATTCTACATCTCTCCATGCAAAGAGGATCTTCTCTGCCCCCCCCAGCAGTTGGCAGCAGATCCAGCCAGCACCTCTCTGTGCAGCCGCAGCACCCCTTTGTCTTTGCCTCTGGTAAGGGGAAGTGCACTGTGATGTAAGGAAGGGTGGGGGACTCTTAACATCTGATGAAAGGGAGATGGCTTGCTCTGGACATCTGCCTATAATTATTGTGAGAATACAGTTTTGTGCTAGTTGAAGGGTTGCACACAGCTGGTATAAGTCATTAATAAGAAACTTTATTGGAGACTGCTCAGACAGGACACCCTAGCAGACATGTTCTGTCTAAGCAGTTTCCAATAATGTTTCCTGTGGTTGATACCAGCGGTGTACGACCCTCCTTTTCAGACTTGCATCACCTGCTACAGGAGTGTGAGTGGGCTCCATGCCAGTCTGCACCTGCCCTTCACAGCATAAATCTTAATTTATAACTAAAACCAGTAATAATCCAATGCAGAGGCAATTATGTATTATGACAAAGAATAGATACATTTATATACAAGTGTACATCGGTTTACAAACGCCTCGGTTAATGTAATTTTCAGTTTATGAATGAAAATCCATTGAAAATAATGCCTTGGTTTAGGAATTTTTTTTGAAATACAAAGTGTATGTTGGTGCCAATTTTTAAATGCAATTGCTGGCTTTTTTTTTCTTCACTATAGCTCACAGAATTACCTGTCACTTTCCCCGGAGTTAAAAGAAGCTTTGTTTCTTTTAAGAAACGAAAAGGAAACATTGTTTCTTTTAACTTGGGGAAATAAACTAAAAGGAAACTTTCTCTTTTAGCTGGGGGGAAAGTGACAGCTGAATCTCTGAGCTATAGTGAAGAAAAAAAACAGCACAATAAATAAAAAAAAATTGGTGTGGGGTCCCAATGTTGAGGGCCATGTGGCCTAGTATGGTTCAGAAGGGGGGTGGGTGTCACTCACTCATCCCCCACCTCCCCTTTCCTGACCTGCCGGGTTGCATGCTCGGATAAGGGTCTGGTATGGATTTTGGGGGGGGGGGGGACCCCACGCCATATTTTTTTTTTATATTTTGATATTTATACTTTGATATTTTCGCGTGGGCTTCCCCTCCCATCCATACCAAGTCCTTTGGGTCTGGTATGGATTTTGAGGGGAACTCCAACGCCAAAATTAAAAAAAAAAAAAAAAAAAAAAAAAAAAAAGGTTCCCTCCCGCCAGATCCATACCAGACCCCTATCAGAGCATGCAGCCGGGCAGGTCCGGAAAGGGGGGGGGGGGGGGGGGGGGGGGACGAGCGAGTGCCCCCCCCCCCTCAAACCATATGCCCTCAACATGGGGGGGTGCTTTGGGGCAGGCCCCCCAAGGCACCTTCTCCACATGTTGATGAGGACCCGCTGACAGCTGAAACATTAACACATGGTTGTCACTGCTAAAATACCGCATGACTTGATAAAATAACTCATGCGGTATTTTAATAGCGTTTACTTTTTTATGACCTCCGGAACGGATTAATTGGTTTTCAATGCATTCCTATGGGAAACGGCGTTTTGGTTTACAAATTTTTCGCTATATGAAAAATCCCTCAGAATGAATTAAATTCGTAAACCGAGGTATGCCTGTAGTCTTAAAGATACAACTGGCCCTTTGAGGGCAACCAATATGCTGATGTGGCCTGCGATGAAAAGGAGTTTGACACTTCTGCTCTAAAGCAAGGGCTTCTGATGGAACAGGGATACCAGGAGGGAACGTGGATAGACAATCAGCAGACACTATCATTTGCCCTGAATAGACAGATGACACTGTCTCCTTAAAGTGGAATTCCAGGTTAACCCCAACTACTCTTAAAACTACTTTTCAGGCTGCTTCAGTCCAAACACATGAAATCCCCTGTGTCAGCTGGCAGGGGCTGAATAGGACAAGAGTGCATGTTCTGACAAAACCTGGTAAAGCCTGCAGTGGTGATGTCACCCATAGGCTTCAATGTCCCATCCATTGTTGGCGCTCCCTCCTGTACCATTCAGTCACGTTGGCTGACAAAGGGGAGCGGCCTGATAATAGACAAGTATACACATCTTTCTTACACAGGTTTGTAAGTGCAAGTGTTGGGAAGTGGGGGGCACTTAGGGTTAACCTGGATTTTCACTTTAAGCGAAGGAGTATCACTATGGCTTGAAGGCTAGCTGATAATCCTTTCCAAAATTAGTTCTGGGGGGGATGATGTCTTCTTATATTCTTTCATTGTTTGTACATAAATGTAATGTTATGATCACTTTTCATGCACAAGCTGTACCAGAAGCAAAAAAAAAAAAAAAAAAACAAAAAAAAACGCAGAATACATTTCTAGGAAACAAACTGCATCTCCTAAAGTCTTACACATCGTCGATGCTTTGCTGACGCTCTAGGGTACATCTCCCTTTAGAGCGGTACACTTCTGTTTACATGGCTTGGAGCGTCACCCATCCTCCACTACTACAGATGTTTGTAGACAGAAAAACATTTATAGGGATAATTCATTCCTTTTCTGCTCGACTCACACAAGCCCTTCCGTTCTTCTTCTCTCTATCCGGCACACTGGTCCTCCTTTCCACCTCATTAGCCTTTATGATTCGTAAGAGAACATCAGCCAGTGCAGGACTCATTTTGTATAATTAGGCAGGCACAAAGCAATTAAAAGAAGACCTTCAGCTAGCTTGCATTTATTAAGCAATTGCTGTAGCTGTCTGTAGCATTCATAGAAGAACTTCCTGAACACAAAACAAAATACAAGACTGATGTGACAAAGAAATTTCACTGTAATGGAAAGGAGATCTTTTTAAAAGGATAAATTCAACTTTGGGAACATGTTACATGTTCCACCTGTTTTTAGGGTAGAACACGTAAAATGTTCCAATGCTGCATCCACTCCCCTCACTGTGACAGCATTACAGGGAGAAATTCCCGTACTAGCGGTCACTTTTTTCTTTTTTTTTTTTTAAACCAGTGTGGCCGTGCAGGGCTCGACCCACACAGCTGCTTCATTCATTCACAGATTTCTGAGAATGAATGAACTACAAGTTCCAGTGGCTTTAGTGGCTGTTAGCTTGTAGTTCTCAATGAACTACCATGGCACTGTGGAGTACCGTGGTAGTTCATTGATTCTTTCTGCCAGTAGGTCTACTTGCTCGTACATCCTGTACAGGCAAGCAGATATACTGACAGGTCTACAGGAGACCTGCATGGCACCAGCAATCTGCTGATCACTGGTGCAATGCTTTACAGACTCCTGCAACCAAAAATAATATATACACATTTATTGTGCAGGTATTTTTTGTCAAAAGGTGAACTTATCCTGTAACATAACATATATAATCATCTTAAACATTTTTTATTGGTATGGTATAGTAGTTTAATGCTTTAACTTTGAGATTGGCAACAGAGTATCAATTAAAGGCTTGAGATAAAATTCCAGTTAGTTTAATAAATGTACACCTTAAATGTACATATTTAATTTGAGTGACTAGAGTGGCTTATCTCAACTGTGCAGGGATAAGAAGTGGAGATGATGTTCTCCGTTTCTCACCGCAGCTCAGTGAGAAGTTGCCAGTGAAGTCAAAGCAAAGGGCCAGTTTAAAAAGGTGTGACAGAAGCACATGACGGACCATTTGTGTAATTTATCTCCCTGCTTCGCCACCTCAGAGATGGAGATAGTTGGGAGAGAAGAGGGTAATGGCCATGATTTGATGAGAAAGAGGAATTATGTCCTCTGATTCCTCTGTCACTGCTCAACAGCTACTGAAAATTGCAGAGCAGGTTGTATGTACACCAATCAGCCATAACTTTTTGACCACTGACACGCAAAGTGAATAACATTGATTATCTTGTTACAATGGCATCTGAAAATTAGTGGGATATATTAGGCAGCAAGTAAACATGTTGTTTCTGAAGTTGATGTGTTGAGGTGCTGAAAGCAGAAAAATAAAAAAAAAATAAAAATGGGCAACTGGTCAGGGTGCCCATGCTGACCAGTGTCCATAGCACAAAGAGTCTACTATGGGCATGAGAACATCAGAACCGGACCACGGAGCAATGGAAGAATTTGGCCTGGTCTGATTAATCACATTTTACATTTTGTGGATGGCTGGGTGCGTGTGCATCACTTACCTGGGCAAGAAATGGCACCAGGATGCAGTAGAAGAAGGCAAGCCAGCAGAGGCGGCATTAAACTTTGGGCAATGTTCTGTTGGGTAACCTTGGTTCCTGCCATTCGTGTGGCTGTTACTTGACAAACACCACCTACCTAAACATTATTGGTGTCCAAGTACACCTCTCCATGGTAACGCTATGCCCTGATGGCAGTACCCACGTTCAGCAGGATAATGTGCCCTGCCACATAGCAAAAATTATTCAAGAATGGTTTGAGGAACACAAAGAGTTTGAGGTGTTGACTTGGACTCCACATTCTCCAGATTTCAATCCAAATTGAGCATCTCTGAAATGTGCTGGAAAAACAAGTCTGATCCATGGAGGCTCCACTTCAAACTTACAGGACTTTAAAAGGACCTGATACTGACAGTTTGGTGCCAGATGCCACAGCATAGAGGTCTTGTGGCATCCATGCTTTGAAAGGTCAGGGCTGTCCTGGTGGCAAAAAGGGAAACCTAATCAGTATTAGGTGGATGGTCCAAGTTATGGTTGATTTATGTACATGTGTAAGTAAGGGAGAACCTGAGGTCTAGTGTGGGTATATTCCCACACTTGACCCTCAGTTTAATCTATTATACTGTATATAAAAGGTGATAAAAAGACCTATGGGAGAGAGAACATTAAAAAAAATTGTGGTTTTATTTATCAAGACATTCCTGTGACACTTTCAAATTGGTCTTAAACATAATAAAAAAATTTATAGTTCATCTATTTTTCAACTTATACACTTTATATTTTTTACTGAGGAATACTTGAGCCTGTGATCTTGCGAGATCATAGGATTAAATCTCACTACTACACATCACAGCCATTCACCACATATTCTATTCACTTCTCTTCTCAGAAAAGAGAAGTACAAATGGTAGTAAACAGGCTTACCTGAGAACTTTATATCATGTCAAGAGCTGTGATGTGATAAGGCAGGTATGATTGAAGGTTAATAAACATGCGCGTAAATAAAGGGGCTGACATTGCTGACCTTTAGCCCTCACGCAAACGAAGCTGAAAAAAAAATTGCAGCTGTTCTAGGCTTTTTTTGCAAGCCTATAAAAGCACTTCTATATAAGCCTGTGTGTCCATGCACACACATGTTTACAGGTGAATTTGTAGAGGAGCGTTTACAGAAAAAAAAAATAAAATTCGATAGAATATGAATACATATATTCGATCTATATCTCTCACAGGCGCATTCAGGAGAAGTGCTGAAGAGAAAATAATGCTAAACTCTTGGGTGCATTATGACATTAACTTGCCGGGGAATTTTTTTTTTTTTTTTTTTTATGCATTTAATGCTTTCCAAAGGCCAGAGTAAATGAATAGAAAAGATAGAACACAGAAGCGCCTCTAAGTGCAGACTGTTGGCTGTTTATTAAAAAGAAGTGGTAACTTACATTTAGCAGGATAAAATAGGCATTAAAAGTTCATCTCTGATGCACTAAGGTTACTGTCTGCACTGTTGGTCCATAGCTGCTGCTTGTCTGAATCCCGGAAGCTGGTCGTCTGTAGAGGAGAACCAGGAGAGAGGGCTGGAGCGCAGCGCCAGGCGTGATGAAGTCATCTCGGGCATATTGTGACACATTTCTGAGCATGCACACGTCAGGTGTGCTCCTTTGTCACATTGCCATGAGCACTCAAGCCTTCTCTCCTGGTTCTCTTCTAAACATTGCTGGCATCTGGGATCCAGACAAGCAGCTGCCACGGACCAATAGCGCAGGCAGTGCCCTTAGTGCACCGGAGATGGACTTTTAATGCCCATTTTATCCTGCTAATTGTGAGTTGCCTATATCACTTCTCTTTTTAATAAACAGCCAACAGTGTGCACTTAAGAGCAGAAGCAGAGAGAACACAGAAGTACCTTTTAACAAGAGACTTGCCCTTAGTTGCTTACACTCCCATGCTTTCATCATTACCTCTGGATGGACGTTATCCTTAAAATTTTGTACTCCACAACATAGGTCGATTTTCCCATAAGTGAACATGTTATTTGTGCCCATATTCCATTTTATCTGCCATTAATATTCTTAT